TTCGACGAAAAGCACTATTCTTCACTGTCTTGATTGTGATTCCAAGCATGCTCATTGGTGAGTATTTCGAGGAATCGTTTTTATGACTTATTCAAAAAATCAATGTTAGGATATCATTTAATTGAGAGCTCGGACATACGTAAAAACTACTTCAAAACTACTTCATACTCATGACTGCATATTCGACGTTGGTTGCATGCTGCTGTCAAACATTCCTGATGGATGTAGGATACAGATTCTAGTCCAGTTCTACTGATTCTAGTGTCCCTGATGAAGATTGCACAATATCTTATTATCGATTTAAGTCAATAAATGAATTTTGACAAGATGGGAGTTTAGAACCATCCAAATATTTCTTGAGTCACCCTTTAGATCTGTATTGTTTTATAATCGATCATTGAGAGACTAAATTGCGATGTAATTGCGGATATATATCGTAAGGAATGGGCAATTTCAAAGCCGATGAGGGACGAGAAAGAAAAATTGGGAGTAGGAGTACAAGANGGCATATATCTGGGGTTGTACATCATAAGCATATCGAACGGCGTTTTGATAATGAATCACTTATTTTCTCTTGATTACAGCCCTCACGACAATATTCGTATTCTGGATACCACCACGTGAACACAAGATAACGTTCTCGAACTCAATTTTCGTCGCACTAAGTTTCTACTATTTGATTTTAATTGATTTGATTCCACCAACTTCTCTTGTCGTTCCACTCCTCAACAAGTATCTGCTATTCACACTTGCATTGGTTTGTGCATCAATATTGATCAGTGTGGTCAACGTGAATATCTACCGAAGGTTTGTGTCTGATTCTGATAAGTCTTTCATTGATTCAGTTCGTTTCATTGAGGATGCAATTGCAATTCTCAAGTTTACTGTCGTTCAACTGAAAGTATCAATCAGTCGACATTCAATGAACTGATCCAGAATTGAATTCTGCGATCCTCTGATTACTTGTCGCATTTTTCAGTAAAGAAAAAAGACTACTGGCTTAGCTTTATTATTTGATGAAAATGCAACATTCGGGAAACAAACGCTAGGAGTATTTCCATGATATGGTTTCAATGAAAATGGTTAAAATGGTTGATTTTTCGTTCAGACAAGGCACATTCTACAAAATGTCAGACTGGATGCGATGCTTATTTGTTCGAACACTACCAAAATTCTTAAACTTAAAAATGTTGACGGTTCAAGATGCTGACGACCACTCTTCATCAAGTTTTCTTTCGCATAGCGATGGTGAGTCGCACTCTAGCTGATCATTCAGAGTTGTTAATTGTGATACGACATATTTGTTCGTGCAACACTCCAGATTCTTCTGAAACCACCTGAGATGATTCATTTAGTTTCAATTATTTGGTTTTGATTTATTTTTTCGAGCAAATTCTTACTTTGCATTCTTTGTATTGTCTATCTGCTGCACTCTACAATCGCTCACTGTTATGAGTGTGTGTCGTGTATGAATGAATAAATAATAGAGTGAATAAATTCACATCGATTAATTTGTGACTCATTGCTCTTTGACTGCGATCAAACCAATTAGAGAATTCGCGAATATCAATCTCGCCTCTGGCTATACTTCTACAAATTGAAGTGAACAAGGCCTTATGAAAGCACTTTAATTCCCAACAATTGCATAGAGTTGCCTTCTATCAAGCCCATGATGATCTCAATTTTATCGATAATTCCAGACTCATCTGAAGACTCGAGTTGTCCAACTGATTCGGCAATTCGTAAATATACGCTACCGTCGTTTGCTGAGCCTATCACACCAAAGATGCGATTGCTCAGTCTATGCGAGGTAAGTGACGTGGATGATTGCCGTAAAACTTTAGACCTGCTGTTGCACTTTTCTATGAGAATCGTCGAAGGATTCGAGGCATTTTCCGTCTTGTGAGGATTGA